AAGAAGAAGAAATCCCAACTCAAACCCATAACCCACAAGACAAATACTGTTACTTCAATGGTCAGAACCTTCCAAAGAGCACAACTTATTCATTTTCAATGACCAAAGACATGTTAAAAAATCCCAAATTTTCTTGTCCTTGAAGAAAACAAAATCAGAAGTATATCAATACAAAAAATTAATAATAGTAATTGGAAAAGATCAGGATTTTTACCTTTTTGGTGAGCTACCCCACTAAGATCATTGGCATACTCCCCTCCCCTGAAAACATGGATCCCACCTTCTGATACAGGGGAAGCACTGGAACTCCAGACAAACATATGCAAATCCTTGCCATTCTCAGCCCCATTTGCCTTCTTCTTTCCAGCTGTTCCGGTCACCGGAGAGAAGATTCCGGCACTAGTGGGAGCAGGATAGGCATTTCCATTTGCCTTTACTGGGTTTCCGAACACAGCAGGTCCATTCTCTTCATCAAAACCCAGATTCCCAAAGTTGGACTGCCGTGGACTAACATTGCTTGCGTTTTTCCCATTCACCATTGAGTAGAAATCAGTGTGGTTGAAGCTGGACCCTCTTGGGGTAGGGTTTCTCGAGGACTGAAGAGAGTAAATCTCTGCATTAGTCAGGTTCGACGGTCTAGGGGTCATAGAAACACCGGAATTGGGACCATGCGACCGGCGAGAGAAAATTTCTGATCTAGAACTTGTAGATTTCCTCACGGTGACATGGAGTTTACCATCTTCACCGACCTCAGCCTCTGTCTGCAACGGCTGCTTGCCGTCCAATGAAATGATGTCGGAATCAACCCTGAAGGAGATGATAGAGCCAGCGGTATCGGGAAATTGCTCGGCAATCAAGAGTCTGGCTCCTCTATATTCGAACAGAAAGAGCATCAATGTGTACCAAATTATACACTGAAGCACAACTATTTGGACCATTAAGCTCCCTGAGTGTTCCTCATACATCCCCTTCAACAGAGGAATCCCCATGACCAGAGTGTTTGGGAGAGTAGAAAGTGAAAACAGAGTGATGGACCATTCCAGCGAGCCTCTTGAGCTGGTTCGAGACCAGATGGCTAAAATAAACAAGACTATGATTTTCTGTAGGGTATCAGCGGCTATGAACCTGTAGTTCATGGCATACGGGTCATTGGTGGAAATGAAGTGAAAAGAAAGCAGAGGAACCGCAAACAGAGCCACAAATCGGTTGATGCCGGAGCACTGATCGGGGCTGAAGATCTTCCACCATTTCACCGAGCCATAGGCCAAAAACATCGCCACATAAAGTGGGACAACGGCAGTGAAGACGTTGTTTAAGTCTTTAGCACTGATCATTGTGGTATTTCAAGAGAACAACTGTTTTTTCAGGAATTTTAACGAACACCCAGATCACAAAATGGGGTGAATAGTAAAACCCAGATGGGGTTTTGATTCTTTTGGAAGAGATCGAAAAAGGATGAAACCTTCTCAAATTTTCTCACAGTTTCTCACTGATTTTCTTTTGTTTTCTCCCTAACCAAACAGAAGAGAAGAAGAAAATGAAGGTCAACCCGTCTTCACATTAAGCTCAAGTGTTAAAGTATGAAAACCCAATAGGTAAAATCGCCGGAGGAAGAAATTCCGGCGACTTTGAGAAGAAAGGAAAGGGGGGGAGAGTGGAGGAAGGAAGGGAAGCGGAGTAGAAATATTTAAGAGATGAAGATGATTGTGGCAGACAACGAAATAAAAAAGGTAGGGGCTTTTGGGAACCTTTTGGATATTAAAACTAGTCTTTTGGAAGAGAGAAGGCAGTCGTGAGTGTTGTGTATGCGCAAATGGTGAGAAAAGGAAAGGTAAAGAATAGAGAAGAAAATGCATTGAGCTCAAAAAAGAAGAATATATTTTCTGGATTTGATGGAAGAATAATTTGTTCTAGGACGAATAGAGAACGAACATGTTTTTATATTTAGTTTGCATCAAAATTGGAAC